GTAGTGATGTGACAATATATAACTTCGCTAGCTCTCTGCTACGGTTTTCTCTCGTCAAGTTGAACGGCAGTGGTCGTGGCCATCACGACACGGTCATGCTGTGCCTCTACTGCCAGAGGTGTGTCTGATCAGTAGTAATGGGTTGAGGCTAGTAGGTCTCATTGGTAGTAATGGGGCCTTTACGGTAACAGTCGGTAAATGAGGTTAGTATGTCCAATCAGTAGTAAAGTTGGGGGGGCGTGGGTTGGTCATGCATGAGGATAGGTGTTAGCATTAGTAGGAGGTGGTAAGGTGCAAGGTTGGGGGTGGAGAACTTGCTTATACTAAATATACCATAAGTGGTGATCTGTTGTTTTTTGGCTTGGAAGCCTTTCCTTATTTTTGACTTCTTATTATTCTTTTTGTTTGCTTTTTCTCACTGTTCTTGCTCCAACCAATGCATGTGATCTTGTCTTACGTTTGCATTCATGGATGTACCTGGCCCACTGCGTGCATGCGTATAAGAGTTTGAACCTCGCAGCTTCACAGCTGCCGACCATACATACATAAAGAACATCTCAATATCGTCGCATGACTCGCATCGATCAATCCATCAAGCTAATGAGAGTTGCAAGTCATGTAAACCAAAAATTAATTAACAAGTGCGATGAGTAGTCTCCACTTCAGATCTGTCAGCTATTTTGTCTTGAGAAATTTGCCAAATAAAAGCATAAAATATAGCCCATTCTATCACAACATAAATACTGAATAGTCAAAAGTTCTCAAAACACGCAAAAAATTAGACCAAATGTGTGGAGGAGTTCGAAAAGGAAAAAGGAAAAAGGAAAAAGGAAATTGTTTTTGAATCTGAGTAAAAGGAAAAAGAACGACGAGTTTTGATACAGGTTTCGACTGAAATAGGTTTTGAATCTTTGATTTCTATTAGGAAGGTCACGGAGCCTGGTACTTGAGAACATATTGACGAAACAAACCAAATACAAATCGTTAACAAGATACAAACAGTTAACAAAATATAATTATAAATATTTGGTCGTAACCAGGGTTGCCAGGCCGAACGTACGGAGGCCCCTAAGCTGACCCCCGAACGTTCGGGCGTTCGGGTCCCCGTACGGGGCCTGAACTCGAAGGGGTTCGGACCCCGCAAAAAAATATTTTGGTACCTAAAAATTATTTTGTTTTTCTGATTTTTTTTTTTGTGAGTTCTCTGTTATGTAAGTTACCTGTCTCTCAATTTTGAAGTCATTATGTGGAGCCAAACAATAATGAAAAATCGGCAAAGATGGTGGTGTCAAAACTTGCTTTCTCACTTACTAATTTGTTTTTTTTCTCTTTTCACTTTTTGTTTTCCCTTTATTTCGGGGCCTGAAAAAAAATATTATTTTTTTCAAACTTTATTTGTAGGTTCTCTATTATGTAAGATACATATGTATAAGATTTCATGGCATTTGACAAAGCCAAAAAAAAATGAAAAATCGCCAAAGATGGCGGTGTCAAAAATTTGCTCGCCCACGCAATAATTTCATTCTCCTTTTATTTTTTCTTATTTTCATTAATATTATTTATTTTTCGTATTTGATTTTTATTTCAAATTTGGTAAGGAATTTGGATGTACTGTTGAGGCAAATGTTGCTTAGTTTATTCTTCTGCATGACATATGTTTTTTTCAGAAGTTTTGGAAACTTTTTTTTTNATGACATATGTTTTTTTCAGAAGTTTTGGAAACTTTTTTTTTTTTTTTTTTTTTTTTTTGGTTCCGCGTTCGGCCGAACGTCCGAACGTGTCGAGAGGGGGTCCCAAACGTTCGGGCGTTCGGGTTCGGGTGTTCGGCTCGTCCCGAACGCCGGCAACCCTGGTCGTAACCATACATGCAAGTGCACGCTGTGTGGGCAACTGCGCACGTATGGCGCACGAGCGCATGGGCACGTATGGCGCACGAGCATTAAAAAAAAAATTAAAAAAAAATGGGGGGGTGGCACCTAAGCGTCAAGATACGTGTATATATGAGTGCATGTCTATAGTAGCATAGCTATAAGTAAGGGTGTGTATAGGGACTTGTATGTGTGTGCGTGCCTGGGGTATATATATACATATGAATATATAGATATTGTAAAATAGAACTGCCCGGTAAACCGTAGGTAGAGAGAGAGAAGAGGACAATGAAAGAGGGGCTGTGACAGACTATTTTGTCGGAGTTTTACCGACTCATGAGGCGGCTGAACTATATATACTTATAAAGTCTTATATACATATATACATGCATATGATATATACATAAATAGATGTATAATTCATCGGATATAGATAAATATTATATAGACATAAAAAAAGGATCTTATTGTAGGCTATAGGTTCCTGTTTGGGGATTATTATACTTTTGTTTGTTTGTGTGTGTGTGTGTGTGTGTGTGTGTGTGTGTGTAGGTTGCTGACATTTCGTGTCTGCTTGCAACATCTTGCTTTCCCATTTCCAGAGCGAGTTGCTGTTTCCTGAATTCTTGGAGGTTCTTGCCTTGGCGTCTTTCAGATTCTCACCAGTAGATCCTGTCACTCGGAGAAAGGTATAAACGATTGCTTGCTTGCTTGCTTGCTTGCTTGCTTGATTGATTGATTGATTGATTGATTGACCGACTGATTGATTGATTGATTGATTGATTGATTGATTGATTGATTGATTGATTGATTGATTGATTGATTGATCACTTTTTTGGGTGAGTGATTGATTGATAGATTGTTAGATTGCTCTGGTTGGTCACTGTTTGTCCAGAGCAATGACCGATGACCATTGGGTGCTGAACAAATAAAGCATCGGCAGTCTTTTGTTTTCCTTTTTTGTTTTTTGTTTCGTTTTGTTTTGTTTCCTGTGTCCTCAAGAAACCCCTCAGCGAAGGTGGAGAGGAGGGGAAAGGGAGGAGGGCAAGTGGACCTCTGTGTGTGTGTGAGAGAGAGTCTCTCTCTCTC